TTGAGAATTTAAGGCGTAAGAGATTTAAGAAATTGACCGATCATAATTAATTTTTTCTTCTATAATTCGATTGTGATTGGTCAATTTCTTAAATTTTACGCCTTAAATTAAATTAAATTTTCATTGTAGACCCCGCTTTATCGCTAGGAAGCTCCGGGATGTGCGAGAAAGAGAGAGAGAGAGAGAGAGGAAAGGGGGAGAGGGGCAACGATCCAAAGTCCAAAGACTCGCAGGAAGGAGAACGTGAGTGCGTGAAAACTGAATAGTATATAATAATGGTAATTTAATAATTTATATTGCGTACAATCAGTCACAAATGTACACAAGCCAAAGAGGTGCAGCTAGTAATGAAAGAGAGAGAGAGAGAGAGAGAGAGAGAAGAAAATGTACGTGTATGCGCATGCGAAGAAAGGAAATATGTTTCGGACTGATAAAATTGTTTCTCCTGTCCATTGGTTGTCACTTGTCATTGTCCATGAATGTGTCGTCATTCGTCATTCTTCTTTACCCATCATCATTGTCTCGGTGATTTAATTAATTAATTATTATTACTATTACTATCACCGTCATCGCATTATTATATATATATATAAATTTAAATATATATATATAAATAAAAATATATATATATATATATATATAAATATATTGTACAAAACGTGATAACTACGAATCCTCGCTTAGATAATTCGCATAGTAATTTTCTGTACACACATTCGCCGCGACAGAAGAGAAATACAGTGGTATTTAAATGATTCATTGCGATTACCTTTTTTTTATACCTACCGTCCAAGCGAGTCACAAAAATTTCGTCGCGAAGGTCGAGAGAGAAGAGTCTGAAAGCTTGCGTGTGTATTTTGTCCACGTGTCCACGTGATGGAAGATAAAGTCTTGTCCATTTTTTTAAGCATCTATATCTCAACAATAACAGTTGCGGTGGACCTATTATCAATTTGTTACTGTTGAAATCAAGATCTTTAAATGGCAAACGGCTTTTCTCCAATAGTCACTCTCTTCTTCAGTATCTGTTCGTAAACTTTGTTACGTTATCACTAAAATATTACCCCTATAAGCGCGTAGTATTCCTAGAATATTATTTGAATATTATTCAATATTAAAATAATATTCTTGTAACATTCTAAGAATGTTATGTGATATTTTTTAATATTATAGGAATGTTCTATTCACGTTATATGTCCACTTCACATAATATTCTTGGCATATTATAAAAATGTTCTTAGAATATTAAATAAAAATTAAATAATAATAATATAGAAAAGTATATATATATATATACTTTTATATATATACACTTATATATATATACATATATATATATATATATATATATATATATATGTATANTATAATCATCTATTAATATATTCCAGAAATATTACTTAATATTAAATAATATTAGTAATATTATTTAATATTAATTAATAATATTAATAATATTATTTAATATTATTAGAATATTATATGTAATATTAAGAATATTCCCAGAATATTACTTAATATTAAATACTTAATTAATACTAATATTTAATATTACTTAATAATAAATATTAAATTTTACGCGCTTATAGGAATTAAGCTTTTAATTGAGAAGTAATTTTTTTCTATCAATTTCATATTTTACTTATATACATATTGTACATTATATATATAATATATATTAACATGTATATATATGTCATTAATATATAATATAGTTAAAGGAAAGAAAGTATTAACTATATTACTGCCGATACTTCATTCACAGCAACCGAGAGAAACTTACCAACATCGAACTGTGTATCTTTCGTAGGTATCGATTAAAAAAAAAATGTGTCATCATTACCACAGTTTTACCGACGACATTGATAACGCAGTGATAACGACATTTCGAATCGACAGAAGTTCTTGTGGAAAAGCGCTATCGTCGGTCGATTCAATCCTTTCACTCAAGTATACCGACGCCTGTCGTATAGGGATCAACCATTTGCACGATTAACCATTGGAAGCAGTTTACCAGCAACTGAACATTCGTTTCGAGAATGATTGCTTTAAGAATTTTCTTCCATCGGTACGACAGATTCGACGATACAACAGATCTCCGGCAACACGGAATATACTTTTGGCGCTACTTTCAACATTTTCTCCTGAAATCCTTCTAGCTGGAATTTTCACTCGAAGGAAGCGAAAATTCATTCAAAGCGGTAATAAAAGTATCGGCATTTTTTTTTTAATATCTCTTTTGGGATGTGTGTTTATTATAATCTTAAACTAATGTTTAAATAAATAATATCTCCTATACAGAATTGATAACGTGTGGTGGGACCTAAGTCATTATTTAGGCTCTACCTATTATGTGTTCACATAATAATGTTCACTAGTCTGAATCCTAGAGTTCATATTGTTTAAGGTGTCTCAAGTCCAATTTGGTATCCAGAAGTCTAGTGGCTTCCATATTTTCATGTTGTTGCAGTGCTTTTTTCATGAAGTTTATCAGCATTTAACCTCTTTGTACATTTTTATTTAAGGGGCCATTCAACAATTACGTTATGCTAAATTTGAGTATTTTTAACTTGCCCCTCTTTTGCCCCTCGTCACAATGTATTTGATATCTGGCGACACTAGCATAGAAGACAAGTCAGGAAGAGGATGGCCATCGGATTTCGACGATCAGGCACTTCTGGCAGCCGTGTTCCTTCGCCAAAAAGATCGTTGAGATCCCGAAATAACTATGCTACGGTCCATCCTTTCTCGAAGTGGTAGAGCCATATAATATGGCGCAGGTGAATATGATTTTCGACTCGCATTTCTACTAAGTAAATATAGAAGAATGTTTATATATATATAAAATATATATATAAAAACAAGCGATTTTTCTGACTTTTCAAGGTAGGGAGGACCCTTAAAAAGACTGCAGCTTGTGTAAGATTAACGTTTTATTCATAAATGTACAGAGACCGCCAACCAAATCGCCTATCAATAAATACATGTACACAATTGATTACTCTTCAGCGGATATTGCGATTACAAAATTAAACGAGATACAAAATTACTGCGGAGTCCCGTCGACACGATGAGTACGCAGGTGTTGAATGCAGCGACGAGGCACGTTCGATCACTCCTGTCCGATCGACGATGTAAGATCTTTTTCTCTTTTTCTCGGTACCAAAAAACTCTCATGCGAAACATACGGTCGCCATATGTAAATGAACGAGATTATTTTCACACTGTGCGCTAAAATCGCACCGTCGAATAACGATGCGACGAGCGCAATGTTCGCGTAATCGCTGCACGACGAAAGATACGTTTGCGCGATTTATTCCAAGCTGTTGGTTTTCGTTTGAAAGAACGTCTCAACGTCGCGTCTCCGGAATTATAATTGCGTCCATTATAATTGCCGGATATCGGACGTCGAGTAATCGAACCGTCGATTCCGCACCCGAGTGCGCGTTCTCTCGTAGAATCGTTGAACGACATTCTCCATTGACGATCGCATCTGAGCGAAAGTCGTACGAAAACTCGTCGACCTCGTCGCAGAAAGAAGAAGAGAGTCCGAGGAAACGGGAAATTTACACGATCCGGGAAATTCGTTCGAAAGGAATCGAATCGATACACTCGAAAATACACGAGAAAACGGTTTTGCAGTCGTAGCAAAAATTGTCGAGAGATCAGATAAAATGGATAAATGTCTGGCGAACGCTTCGATGTTACACGCGTGTTGTATCTAATCGATATTGGCGGCAGGGGCAAAATTTTTATCTCAACTATTTGTCTAATTTAACGAGAAAATCTCTCTGCGGAGTCTATCCGGATTAAGGCCAGTCGCATTTCTCATTAGAAATTAGCAAGAGGATCTGAGTTTCTTGCAGAAATTGCCGCCGCCGTAAATTATACGTATCACAGACAATTTTCCCAGCAGATACAAAAAATAGCGATACGCTTTATCTGTGACGTTTAGAATTCTGGTTGGACCAGCAAAACATTCCCCTTGAGTGTAACGATAATCAATAATATCGAGCGATATAACGATAATATCGCTCCAGCAGGTTTAATTGGAACGATAAATTTGCGGAAATTTACTTCGCCGCTAAAATATATGATTGCGCAGTTCTTACGTCACAAGTTGCGATTCTATTGCAATGACGATCGAGTCGCGCATTCTTTGCGGGGACGGTCTAATTGCGGGGACGGTCCCCGTAATCGCCGGAGAGCCAAGGATGGGAAGCATGGAAGTCGCCACGTGGAAATCGTGCGCCCCGGTCGGCACCCCATAAGCGCGCAATATTATTTATTATTATTTAATATTAAATAATATTTCTGGAATATTAACAGATGGTTACATGTCCACTCCTAATATTAAAAAAATAATATTATTTAATGTTATTGTAATATTATATATTTTTTTAATATTCAACTTTATGTATATGTATATGTATAACTGTAATTTTTTTATTTCAAATGTGTGTATTGAAATACCAATTGTTTTATCATATAAATAAAGTCGAAATAATTTTGTATAAAAATACGTTTTATATATATATATATATATATATTTCTTTTTCTATATTATTTTTTTTTTTTATTCTAAGAACATTTTTCTAACATGTCAAGAATATTGTGTGAAGTAGACATATAACATCTCAATAAAACATTCCTATAATACTAAAAAATATTACATAACGTTCTTAGAATATTATAAGAATATTATTTCAATATTGAATAATATTCATATAATATTCAAGGAATATTAAGCGTTTGTAGGGCACGTGTCTCGTCGGCTCCGCGATGGGAAGTCCAGAAAGTACAGAAAAAGAGAGGTAGAAAGAAAGTAAAAGAGGCAGAGAGAAAGAGAGAAGAGGGGGGGGGGGGGGGAAAAAAGGAAGGAAGGGAAAA